ATCTATAAACAGTAGGCGAGCCACGGTGACTTAGTGAGTATGGTGTTGCCTGACTAACATGGAGGTCCCGTGTTCGATCCTTGCGTTAGCCGAAAAAGTTGATCGGGTTTTTTTCAGGCTTGTCCCCCCCCCCCTTTGGCAGTAGTGCAGGACAGATGGCCAGGCAAGCGACAGCGCGTAGTCGTACGGACGTAACGTGCACATATAAGATCCCTTGACAGTTGGCAGTAGCGCCGCTGTCTGGGCAAAATGTCCCTCATAGCAAACTGTATGACATACACTCGTCTTCATTAGCCCAATAAAGCTACTTTTCATTCCCATAACAGTAGATATGATACTCCGTCGTCCATCCTAATCGCTTTCATTACAAAATGGGAAATTATGGGAAAGAAAAAACGGCTGCTGCCAATGATTAATTGAACCGTTTTTGTCCAAATCTCAATTATCCATAATTCTATCAATTTTTTGATGATGACTTTTGAATTTTTGCTTTGATATGTAGAATATGTTTATCTATAACATATTATGCCTTGTCGGTCAATTTGAGTAGTACTTTGGACGCTATTGACCAACACACACAGTTGTCGGTCCTTGTCGGTCACTTTTAGTAATACCTTGGACGCTATTGACCAACACACACAGTTGTCGGTCCTTGTCGGTCACTTTTAGCAGTACTTTGCACGCTATTGACCAACACACACAGTTATCGGTCCTTGTCGGTGTTTAGTAGCACCCGTCTATGTTGATCCGATAATCTAAAGACATGGCCTGGAGTCCATATTGAGCCACGGTTAGTCATGATAAAAAGGATAAATTAACAATCTAGAGATAGACCACACCTGCACCATTAAATATTGCATCCATAAACGTGAATGGATCCCTGATCAGGGCCCAGTTAGCATGGTGTATATTACGTAATTTTTTTTTACAAGATTTTCGCACAGAGCGATTGATATAAATACTGTTGGGCGTTCGTGTAAATCCCATTGCGTTATTTCCTTTCAGAACATCTTGACAGGAAGGAAAAGGGGGAGAGAGAAATGGGGTTTAATGTCCACTCGACACAAACTAGGTCATTTCGGGATTAACACATGGTTCAATTTTATTTCAATCATTCGCTTGCGCGTAGGGGTCTTTAGCAGTGGGAGGAAACCGGAGGACCGGAAGGAAAAGGGGTTAACAATACTTGGGTCATTTTGAGACTAACATATGGTTATAATTGTTTCTATGGTTACGTGTCCAATGCTAGGTAGGCGAAGCTTGCCCGGACGGCGGGGTCCTTGTCTACTCTTCATCGAATTGTACGCTTAGACGTATAAATAATAGATCTTGGGGTTTCATCCTACCCGGACACACATTAGACACAGGGGCATTAGTTAGACCAAACGGTATCAACGACACCGAATTATATTGATTATACGGTGTTGTGGACTAACCTTTGGAAGTAATAAAATGTGTCATCGAGGCAAAAAGATATATAAAAAAAGGCTATGAGGAAGATCACCTTAATTATTTGCTGAAATTGTAGCTTGTTTCAGAACCCGGCGTCTGGGTTGGAAACGTAATAACCCATCTTGGGACGACAACAAATCTGCAATTATCATTATATCCAAAATCTTTATTACATGAGAGACATGAATACATGTAAACAAAGTCGACAAACATGAAATAATACAAGTTAGATATTGGTGAATAACGTGTCATATATCATCGATGTACATCAGTACTCGTCAACTTATACATGTATTATTGATAATACGACTAGACGTCCGCCAATATTTCCTATCATTTACTTTTCAGACATACTTTTAAATGTCATATAAACATTGGAGTGCAAAGAGGGGGCGGTGGCTCCGGGGATCCACCTCAAAGGGACATTCAATCAACGAGTCAAATTAATATTGATTGTTTTTAAGATTTAAAGTAGCTAAGTCACTAACTAAATATCATCCAAAACACGATTTATTTGTCGGTTTAAATCAACATTGATGTTGTGATCTTACCGGGAAAAGATGGCCTTCTGATATCCAATATTTAAGACAAAAAAAACATTTTACAATTGGTACACGAATCGTGTACCATAATGCGTTTCATCGCTATTTGTAATAAGGGACTCGAAAAACGAGGCTAGGCATATTCCACAAGTCATGTCAAACGGTGATGCTATATTCTTATATAGGGAGCATGCCCAATAAATCCTATCGGCGTAGACTGGAATAACCAGAAGCTAGAGATTGAAATTAGATTGAGAATACTGGCGTATGTTGCCGAACCTAATTGGTTAGAAATTACAGTAAAAACAGAATTGATTGAATGTAAATCAATTTATATACATTCATATTACATTATTGTATGCGTTGCGACCCATTTGTGTCAATTTCTAGGTCCCAAATATTAGCGACTTAGCTCCTTTAAAATGATCTCTGTTAACTTTGATGTACACGCTGCCATATTTTATTTATTTTATCTTTTTAACACATTTAAACATATTTCCTTTCCCGTATTTCCGAGTTGGCTCTGGGAAACATCACTAGCTGAGAATATGGCCATTGGGTACTTTTCTAGCAGATACTTAGGCCTTCATCGTTATAAAACTTTAATTAATTTTAATGATCCAAACTTCAGTATGATTGTTAATTGTATTTAATTAGCAATTTTAAAAGTTCATTATGAGCGAATGTCATACAGTAGCACACTTATAACATCGTCGAAAATTTAATGCTGCTCATAGTGCACCCGATTAGATTTTATTACATACTTCGAGAAGGTATTTGTTGAGGAACAAAACCTTCTAGTAGTTTATCGAGGGCTGGCCGTCCTTACCGTACGGTACAAATATTATCACCACTAGAAGCAACAAATTCCAGAACAAGCCAGAACTCATACCAAAATGGCCGCTTTATACAAATGAGTATTTAGGGGAATACTAACCCGAACCCTAACCCTAACCCTTTAAAGAGAAGTAAAAACTAAATTAGACCCAAGTTCAGTCTTTTAAAGAGGGTTAGGGTTCGGGTTAGTTATCCCCAAAATTCTCATTTATATAAAGCGGCCATTTTGGACTCCGGAAGCACCCGAACCTCGATAAACTACTAGAAGGTTTTATTTGTACCGTGCGGTAAGGACCGCCAGCCCTCGATAAACTACTAGAAGGTTTTATTACTTAACAAATGCCTTCTCGAAGTATGTAATAAAATCTAATCGGGTGCACTATGAGCAGCATTAAATTTTCGACGATGTTATAAGTGTGCTACTGTGTGACATTCGCTCTGATATTTCGGGTTCTTTCAATTTAAGGAGGGTTTTTGAAATATAATTAATATAATTTTAAATACGCCACATAACTACAATTTTTAGACATGAAGAAAGTACCAGTTTTTATTAGTCTGGTGTGCGCAGAATATTAGGGCACTAAACTTTAACTACAATTTTTAGACTTGAAGAGAGTACCAGTTTTTATTAGTCTGGTGTGTGTAGAATATTAGGGCGTTAAACTTCATTGTATTTTATTTCACGGGTGTGCGCAGAATATTAGGACGTTAAACGTCATTGCATTTTATTAACCTGGTGTGCGCAGAATATTAGGGCACTAAACTTTAACTACAATTTTTAGACTTGAAGAGAGTACCAGTTTTTATTAGTCTGGTGTGCGTAGAATATTAGGGCGTTAAACTTCATTGTATTTTATTTGACTGGTGTGCGCAGAATATTAGGACGTTAAACGTCATTGCATTTTATTAACCTGGTGTGCGCAGAATATTAGGGCACTAAACTTTAACTACAATTTTTAGACACGAAGAGAGTGCCAGTTTTTATTAGCCTGGTGTGCGCAGAATATTAGGACGTTAAAGTTCATTGCATTTTATTAACCCGGTGTGCGCAGCATATTAGGGCACTAAACTTTCATTAGCCTGATGTGCGCAGAATATTAGGGCGCTAAAATTGATTGTAATTTATTAACCTGGTGTGCGCAGAATATTAGGACGTTAAACTTCAATGTATTTTATTATCCACATCACCCGAGTTAGCTCTTTACTATCTCACAAAGATGTATTTACAGTTTTTCCTGACTTTCTGCTTCGACTTCTTGTTTATTTACTACATGATTTATATATGCTGCTTTGTTTAGTATTCCCAGTCGTTCGGATGGGACGAAAACCCGAAGTACTGTGTAAACATTGGTGTGCCTGCTAAAGACCCCTTGAGATTTGAAATTCGATATAAGTGCACAATTACCCTCATAGCACAAGTCCAGTCGGAACATAAAAATAGCTCGTTTAACACCATTTCATTTCACTTATTTTGCGATGCGAGAGGGTCATTTTGCACCTAATCGTCTCCGCATTGTAACACCCAGGGGTTCTTTAACATGCACACGCCAATGTATACTTGGGTATACTATGTTTTCGTCCCAACCATACAACTAGACCCACTGTCCTTGTCAGCCCTGCGGTATGACCAGAAACAAAATTTGTGCATTGATTTGTAAGCCTAAACTGCCCATATATATTTATTATAAAATAACCATTGTTTGTCGAAATTACTACAAATGCATGTAGCCCAGTTTATGTGTCTTTACCATGACAGTCACACCATATAAATAATCACAAAATAAATTAGCATTTGTGTCACGTCTGTTGAAGTTGCTCTCTTCTATCAGCTAATCGGTCGGACAGTGTTCACTACCAGAACGTCCATTTTGAAAACACAACAAAATAAATGACGTAGAACACATATAAAGAACACCACAAGTGATGATGAAATTGCCATTGCATGTGATGAAGAAAAAAAAAACCCAAATAGAATAGTCAAGTATTAGAGATAACTCCTGATGGACACCTGTTCATCGTATATCCTCTGTAATTTATAATTAAATATTTAATTCACGCTTGCGCCACTTGCTGGATATAATAAGTATTAATAAATCACCGATTATCTCCCCTCGTTATATAAACGACATGTTGGTAGCTTAGTTCCAATTAACCAAATCGCTTCAACCAGCTGCTTCTAATATACTTATGGGAACAATCAGCCGGTCCGTAGTCAATAAGATTAGCGTTGTAATCCTGACAGTCTCGACAACAAGCAGCCGTATCATACAGTTCCCCGCCATACGAATCAAAACACGTCAAACATCCCATAAGGCATGACATATGCGCACTACGTGGATCACAGGCCAGCTGATAATGGCTCCTAGCCTCGTTTTCAACTATCACTAATACTGCAAGTAAAGTCGTTAGCAGCAACAGCCGGGTCTGAAAATAGAAAGAAAAAAAAAGTTGGTTTCATGGTTTTGATGATTTTCCCAAGTGATAATCATATTACGGAAGTTAAAGATGAATTATGTAAGAGATAGATAAAGAACTGACAGACAGTTCTAACTAAAATAGTTCAAATAAAGATAATGAAAAATAAATATATTGAAAATGTTATTTAAGTCACTTTAATCTGGCGAAGTCATCAGGGTTTGAAGATGTAGCGTAGATTGTTTATTATCGTAAAACGGTACTAGACGATCGAGACCAAATCTAGATTATCCATTTGTAAATTAAATCATTAAATCGAGATTGTGCTTAAATAACAGCTTATATAACATTTGAAGCCAAAAGAAGAGAGAGGGAAATGGGGTTTAACGTCCACTCGAAACAAACTAGGTCATATCGGGACTAACACGTGGTTCAGTTTTATTTCAATAATTCGCTTGCCCGTATTGGTCTTTAGCAGTGGGAGAAAACCTGAGGACCCAGAGAAAACCCACGAGGTTGGACAGGCGACCCTACTCCTTGTCACGTACAACCGGGGAATCGAAACCACACTAGTTGACTCAATGACAGACCTTATGATACAACGCGCACATGTTAACCATTCGGCCGTCCAACCCCACGAGTTCAACAGAAAGACCAACAACAGTTAGACAGAACACCTACATAACGCGTCTTTAAACATACATTATGCAAGAGCTAAATCTGCCTATTGCAGGTCTTTCTTTGGGCCTGAAATGTTTTCTAAATTATTAATTAGACATTAATTAACTGATCCAGGCCTTAATCAACTCTCGATGGCATCAGATTTCTCCGATATTAAATAGATTAGAATGGTTCAGCGATACTTTGATTTAATCAAATATGGAGGACCGAGACTTAGCTTCGATGAACCAGTACGGTGGTTGAAATCATTGCACACGTCTGTCAAACCTTTAAAGGCTAATATCTTCGGTTGCAATAGAGTAATTTGAATGAAATTTTTAAATTATTCATTTTACACCATCTACTTTCGAACTATTATAGCAAGAATGGCTAGTTCTTTATCTAAATCTTACATAATGTATCTTTAAGTCAATAGAATTGTGTAACTTTATCAGCATGTTTAGCGGAATTTAAAAATAAGAGTTAATAAATAATGTACAAAGATTGCATTGCAACCCGAGTCCTTAAAGCGACTAGTCAGAGTTTGTGGTAAATACGTTTCAAATCTAAAACCTAAAATCGGAACTGCTTTAACTCAGGAAAGCAAGTTTGATTGATAAAGCCATCGAGCTTGGTCAGGTTGCGATAATGAGTGGTTGATTCCAGTGTCCACTAGAGAAGAGAACCACACCCCATGGGATAAACGTTCAAATATTTCCAGGATTTTTGCTAATTGGGAGCTTTAGGTATGGCCACATGGTCAGATAAATGTGGCAAAGTACCAAATTCACAAATGACAAAGTAGAATTTGATGTTTCACTTTAAATGAAATGGAGGTTTAATGATTGGTCTAATGAAGACGGACAAACGCGAAACAGTGTGCTATGAGGGAAATGGTGCCCAGATAGCGGCGTCACCTCCTACACTTATAAGGGGTCACGGTGGCTAAGTTGGTAAGACGCTGGCTCGCTAGCTTGTTGGTCGGGTGTTCGATCCCTGCATTGGTCGAGAATGTTCAACCAGATTTTCCGGCGTGGTTCCCCCTTGTCAGTGATACAGGATGGAAGACCTGACCAGGACAGCTGTCTAGTCGTTCGGATGGGACTAAAAACCGAGGTGCCGTGTACACATTGGCGTCCACGTAAAAGATCCCTTGACAGTTGGAATTCGATATAAGAGTAGGCCATAGTGCCGCTGTCCGGGCAAAATGTCCCTTATAGCACACTGTATGGCGTATGCCCATTTTCATTAGCCCAGTTCGGAGTAGGACGCTAAACCCCGTTTTATTTCATTTCCTACACTTATATCAAATTCCACCAATTTGTAGACGGGACGTCGGCTTTTCGTACCACCTAAATAACAATACATTGTGCCTTGCCACCCCCTCTGTCCTGTCACTGATATGTGGTATAACCACGCCGGAAAATACCAATGACCTTTCTCGTTCAACCCAGGGTTTGAATACGGGACCTCCACATTGAGCCACAGTGACTCAAGTTTGCCTTTAAGACATTTGTAGCATTTAATGAGAGTTTTATTTCTTGGAACCATTAACATCAACGGCTATATCATAGATTCTCATAATCCGGATCGTTTTGTCCAGGACAGATGTTTCCGGAATGCAAGCAGGAAACAATAAAAATTAATGTTTGACAATTGTTGAAAAGTTTTTAGTATCTCCTTCAGTTTCCTACACACTGTAATGACGTGTAGAAATCTTGTTTAAACTCTTACAACATTTTACAACATTAAAATAGATAGAGGGAGAAATGGGGTTTAACATCCACTCGGCACAAACTAGCTCATTTCGGAACTAACATATGGTTCAATTTATTTCAATAATTTGATTGCGCTTAAGGGTTTATTTTTAGCAGTTGGAGGAAACCGGAGGAAACAAACCACGAGGTTGGACAGGTGACTCTACCCCTCGTCACGTACAAGCAGGGAATCGAGAGCACGCCACTTGACTCAATGATAGACATTCTAATCCACGGACAGGAACTCTTTGATTTGTTGAAGAATTTTGTGAAACGAGTATCTGCCTATATCAATATTTAAGGTACTCAGATAGAAATGAAATGAAATTTAAAAGTGTTAAACGTCCTACTGTTCTACACCAACTGGGTTAATGAAGACGGTTATACCCGACGCTACGGCCTACTCTTATATCGAATTTCAACTGCCAATGAATCTATTCTTGCACGCCAATGTTTTCGTTCCACCCGAACGATTATTATGTTAACCTTTATTAGGCCAACACCACAGAAGTTGAAATAATCGGATTTTGTCTTCAAAAGTTAAAGGTTTAAGACAAACCAAAAACAAAATAGTAACCAAATCAACTTCTGTTTAATACCTCGACACGAACATGTAAAGGTATAGATTTTGTCCAATTATGAATTAAAATATATCTAACAAAATACACATTTTATGTATTTTAATGGCCGACAACTATCAATCATCGTCACGACATTATCGCGATGTAGATTAGGCCTATTCCATCCAGGGTGTGTACATCTTTCCACTTCTAAATACTCACACCCACAATAAAATATACACTTGCCTTGTGTTGTTGTTGTTGGTGGTTATTAAAGATTTAACGACCATATAAACTGAGCACGTCCTTTATTTTATCACGTGGCTAAGTGGGTAAGACGCTGGCTCGCTAGCCTGGAGGTCGGGTTTTCGATCCCTGCATTGGCCGAAAAAGTTCATCCAGATTTTCCGGCGTGGTTTCCCCTTGTCAGTGATGCAGGACGGAGGGCATGACAAGGACAGCTGTCTAGTCCTTCGGATGAGACGAAAAACTGAGGTCCCGTGTATATATTGGAATGCACGTAAAAGATCCCCTGGCAGTTGGAATTCGATATAAGGGTAGGCGATATTGCCGCTGCCCGGGTAAAATTTCCCTCATAGCACACTGTATGGCGTATGCCCGTCTTCATTAGCCCAGTATAGGAGCAGAACAGTAGGATGTTAAACCCCATTTCATTTCATTTATATAAAATGAACAAATTTGTATACAGTGTACAAACACTAAACAACGTGTGTTTACAATATAAACTAACTTGTTTAGACAATGTATATGAACTAAACAACTTATTTTTTACCGTGTATATAATCTAACTTGTTATTAAAGTGTATAAAACCTCAACAACTTGTTATTAAAGTGTATAAAAACTCAACAACTTGTTTTGACAGTGTATATAAACTAACTCGTTATTAAAGTGTATAAAAACCCAACAACGTGTTTTTACAATGTAGATAAACTCACAATTTGTTTTGTCAGTGTATATAAACCAACTTGTTATTACATGTTATAAAAACTAAACAACTTGTTATTAAAGTGTAAAAAACTCAACAACTTATTTTTACAATCTATATAAACTAACTTGTTATCTGATATAATACATTACCAGCTTAACAACATCTGTATCTGACAATCTCGGTCATGTGATATTTTAATGTCATATTAAATCTCTACTAATGTTTTATCATGGAAATTTGACAAACAATAAAACTAAATCTAAAAACTATCAGAGTCCTAGTTTTAGAGCAGGTGTCCTCAATCAATGTTTAATCTGATGTACAATTGAACTAATTCAAGTATTAAGAGGCCTTAACCAGGACCGGATCAAGCTTTCATGGGACTCCTGACTGAAAATGGTAATGGTACTCTTGACTGAAAATGGCAATGGGCCCCTTGCATCAACAGTGAAATGGGGCATATTGTCCGCCACACTCACGCACATTTGGGTATCTGTTTGGTAGATAGATTTATTGACACCCGCGCCCTGAATCCGTTCCTGATGAAATCTGAAATCCCAACACGGATTCTTCACTATATTTGGTACTAACCGGGAGCCTGAAAAAATTAATAACAGACCTCTAGAGCTAAGCTAAGTTCTATACACACGGTGAGCCGGAAACGGAAGTAGAAATGTGGGAAGAGAGAAAAAATTGGATTCAGAGCAGTCATACACAAGTGTTCTGTACACATGGCGAACCGGAACCGGAGGTAGAAATATAGCTTATTAAAACAGAAGCACAAGCGAGAAATATTTGGATTCGGTACAATCATACACATGACGAACCGGAAACGGAACCGGAACTGGTAATAAAGGTTATTAAAATACAACAAATAGAAATAGTAAAGAACTAAATACATACATAAATGAAATGAAATGGGGTTTAACGTCCTACTGTTCTGCCCGACTTAGCTAATGGAGAGGAGCCTACACCATACAGTGTGCTATGAGGGAAATTTTGTCCGGACAACGGCACCCAAGTACATATGTTTTTGTCGTAAATGAAACATATATGCCCTTACTTAATTGTCAATATACCCC